CATGTGTGTGTGTGTGTGTGTGTGTGTATTTAATACAGTGTCTATAGGATCTCACTACACAGATAAGGCTTGTAGTGATCCTCCTGTTTTGAGCCTCCCTTCCAAGTGCTGGGATTATAGGCATACACCACCATGCTCAGTCTCAATTCCTGCCTCAGTGTTTCCTAGGGGCAGGGCCAGTATGGCACACTGGGGATCTAATCTTGGTCTGTCCAGTGCAGGTCAGCAGTGGGATTTCCCCCCATGCTGGCATCCAGAGGCTGGGAAATTTCAGCCATAACTAAGATCCATAATCAACAGTATCCCAAGAGAATTATCATTTTTTCCCTGGGGAGGGGATGTTTAGAATAGTTTCTATCTTTTTTGAAGATAGGGTCCATTGTTCCTCTTCCAGTGTGTACCCCAAGTAGGTAACCTGGGTCAAACAGATCTGGGCCTTTTTGGCGGACACTCAATACCTAAATTTGTCCAGTTCTTTAAGCAAAACTTCGGTTGCCTCAGTACATTCATCTAGAGTTTCAGAGGCCTGAAGGGTATTATCTACATATTGGAAAATAGTAATCAGGGGGTGTTCCCTCCTGAAGCTTAATAAGTCTTTACTCAGTGCCTTATCAAACAGTGTAGGTACATTTTTGAACCCCTGGGGCAAGTGGTCCAAGTCAGACCCCCATTCTGGGGGTCTGTCTATTCAAAGGCAAAAAGGGGCTGACATACCCGAGCCAGAGGTAAGGTGAAGAAAGCATCCTTGAGGTCAAGAGTGGTGTAGAACACTTGACTAGGAGGGAGGAGTCTCCAAAGGGTGTAGTAGCTGGGAACAGTAGGGTGGAGTGTCTCCACCCTGCAATTGACCTCATGTAGATCCTGGACAGTTCCCAGTCTTCTGTACTGGAAGTAGGGGCATGTTCCAAGGCGACTTACAGGAACCCAGGATCCCTGCTTTTTTCAGCCTCTGAATGTGGACACCAATGCCCATACTAGCCTGAAGGCTCAAGGGATATTGATGAATGCAAACAGAACATGCTCCTGAGAGCAGTAAAACCATAATTGGGGGCTGGATAGCAGCGAGCCCTGGGACTTCAAGGATTTTTAAAGTCCACTTGAATAGGAGTTCCCAGAGCTCCCTGGAGAAATATCCTCTTCTACAAGGAGCAGATGCTCCCCAGTGATGGGCCAACTGAACAGAATAGCAGAGAGCCAGGAGCTGAGCTTGGGCTTCAAAACAAAAGTCACTTGAGAGGAATACTCCCTAATGGAAATTTGGGCTTGCAACTTGTCAAGTAAGGTTTGGGCAGTCAAGTGGTAGGGGCATTCAGGCATGACAAGGAAAGAGTGAGTCATTTGTTTTGGTCCCAGATTCCCAATTCTAGCCTAAGTCCAAGGATGTAATTTTGTCTTTCCAGTGGCTCCCTGAATGTCGGTCTTTCTCTCTGAGTGAAGTGCCACAGCTTATTGTGGGATTGAATAGAAGCCCCAGTGTTGACTAAGAAATCAACTGGTTGGCCCCTTACCTATAGGATTGCCTTGGGCTCCTGGGGCCCAGAAGAAGAGTCTTGGCTCTGTCAGTCTTCTCTTTGAGCAAGTGCTTGGACCTGACTATCTTTTTTTCTTTCATTTTGAGCATTCGTTCTTCTGATATCCTTCTTCCTTACAATAAGCACATTGATTTTTGTTAAGGGGTATCCACCTTTGCTTCCCCTGTGAACTTGAGCCCTTCTTTGTAGATCTATCATTTTCCTTTTCCCCCATGGTGATAAGAACCTTTGCGAGTCCTAGCCCAGGTCCCCTGAGTGTGTGGAGAGTTTCTTGCTACCCTGTGCCAGCGGGACCAGTCCCAGCCCAGG